TTAGTTTACTGTGCAAATAAAGTATTATTATTATTTTATACCCCCTATTCGAATTGACTTGACGAACAATGCATATTGTCCGGATTAGTAATCAATTGTACGATTTGTTTACCTGTATGTTTCACCTATTCATTTTGTATGAATTATTTTTCTGAAAGGTCATGCAATCTGCTTGGCTACGTGATGACACCCTTTAAATTATAAAACATACGTGGCAGCTGAAAGGGATGTCATATAATCGAACAAATTGGTTGATATTATCATGCAGTTTTCAGTATATTACAATCAATATCATAAAACAGATGTCTGCCGCTGTTAAATGCAAGGTAAAGTTCGTCAGACAATACATCGATCCCACACCATCAACTTAATGGTACGGTAACAAATGTTAAACCTGCAATATTTTCCCAAATTATTGAATTTAAAGGCACTACATCCTTTAATAAAGTTACACATGAAACACTCTCTATTTCCTTTCTTCACAAGTCAACGCCTGTTCATTCTTTACTTCCTCACTTTTTTTTTCACTGTCATGCAAACCCTCCTCTTTATCATTTATAGAAATGAATTCAGGGTCTGTTAATTATAGTTAGCACTGACCAGGCCCCAGTTGCTCAAACGTTGTTCAAATTTAACCAGTGTTTAGCGAAAAATCTGCTGTCAAAAAGAAACAAAGGCTTTCAGAACAGAATTATTCCTCAAAAACATATAAATCTTATTTGTCTCCACCAATCCATAGCAGTGAAATGATTACAGATGTTTTCGATGATGTTGGTTGCATATTTTTAAATATTCCCTCACTACTAGCTGAGCTATGAGCAACCGGGTTGGTCCCTGGATTGCTATTCGTTCCGTGCCCTGGTCATATTACCGATTTCGTATTAATGGATTTCATACGTTGCTGACGGTGGATCATTTTTCGTGGAATTTGTTATTTCCGCGTTCATAATAACTGTGAATGCCAACTAAAAACAATTCAATGGTTAAATGTTAAATGCAACGAAAATAACTAACTCTACTTTGACATATAATACCACTAGGAAAAGTCGAATTAACCTCCAAACTCGGACCCGATCCAAAAATGCACGGACACATATTTTTCTTAAAGAATGTTACATGTAATTATGAGTTATCAAGGCCTGTGTGGTGTCAGGTTGAACGGGATTTACTTGTGACCATTTTGTAGCATACTCCATTTATAAAGGCAATCGTCAACAAACACCCACCAATCTGCGTTTAAGAAACAACTTCGACAGGTGCTCAATCATAATTAAAACGTTGTAAACATTTTTGTTGTTGTTGGTATGACGTAAGATTTTAAGTGAGACGCTTAACGGTATGTGATATGGAGATAGACCTGTTTACATGATATGATGCACGCACTCGTCAGATACTAGCATTGGCAATCAGCTGTGGAGACTGTTATCGACGATATGTTGGACGTGGGCTCGTGTGAAGACATTGCAAAAATGCGCTGAATTATTTAGATCCATAGGGAAACGAACAGCAACAGCTTTGTAAGGTATACGAGATGATCGTATCAATTGATATAACCGCATAACATTACAATGCCATTTAATCAAGAGTTAAATGCATCTGTCCGTCAATGACTTTCCAACCAACTTCCTCTCGCACAAATATATAATGTATAGCCAAACCTAACCAGATGAAAAACATGAATCACAAGAGAATGATCATGTACATATTTTGAGGGTGTCAGCCGTATGGAAGTTGATATTACGTGTATTAAACAATTGTTGACTAGTGTTGGTTAGTATTAGTAACAGGAGGCGACAGCAACACCTCAAGCCGAAAACATATATCGAATTGTTGTTCATAGATTTTCTTATAGGTAAAAGATGTTTTCAGATATTGAGATGACTATAAACAAATATTAATATAACTTCTTTTAAAAAATCTTGGGAAACATTCTAAAGCACATTGATACAATCACATACATCATATGTAAAGCATGTGTCCCTTGTGTGACCAATTTGTGACGTCACAATTGAAAACGCGTCTAAACGTCGTTTGTATTGTAACCACCTGAAGATAATTAAATTGTTGTACAAGCTTACCCTGATTTAATTAAAACTACGTTGCACTTTTCTTTTGTTCTGCACCTTCCAAATATGACCTTAGTTTCTATAGATACAGATAGCCTTCCTTAAAGTCAAATTCTACATCTTTGGATGGAATACATATATCCTATATACCTACATAGGAATAGACTATCAATTCTGTTATATTTACATTCTGTATGCTTAGACCCATTGGCAAAAATTACATTCATAAATGCATAACACAGGTGTTCATAGAATCTCAGCACGTGGGAACTGATAGTAACCTGATCACACTGCGTAGTAATACACTACAAAAACTACTCACTCGGAACGACCGAACTAGATGCTTAATTCTTACATCTTAAAATATTATTGAACTGTGCTTTGTGAAATATCCACGTATTCACGTGTCCTGTGCTACAAATAAACATTGAATATGGAACTACATTTTGTTGTGTTATTGTTGTTGACGGTTGCTAAGATCTCTCACGATAGTGTCACATTTCCCCGCGAAAAAACACTGTTCTCGCCACTGCGTTGCACCCGTGTATAAGCAGGAACAAACCCTGTTTATTTGTTTTATTCGTTGTTATATCGATCCACTGAAAGGATTCGTCAATGTAAATATAAGGAATGATATTTATTTTTTCAACATTTATGAGGTCATAACAACAATGGGTTTTTGGACATATTTTACATGAATCGCTAACGCGATTCATTCAATATGTCCATAAACCCATTGTTGTTATGACCTCATAAATGTTGAAAAAATAAAAATCATTCCTTAAATAATAACATTCTGTATGCTTAGACCCATTGACAAAAATTACATTCATAAATGCATAACACAGGTGTTCATAGAATCTCAGCACGTGGGAACTGATAGTAACCTGATCACACTGCGTAGTAATACACTACAAAAACTACTCACTCGGAACGACCGACCTAGATGCTTAATTCTTACATCTTAAAATATTATTGAACTGTGCTTTGTGAAATATCCACGTATTCACGTGTCCTGTGCTACAAATAAACATTGAATATGGAACTACATTTTGTTGTGTTATTGTTGTTGACGGTTGCTAAGATCTCTCACGATAGTGTCACATTTCCCCGCGAAAAAACACTGTTCTCGCCACTGCGTTGCACCCGTGTATAAGCAGGAACAAACCCTGTTTATTTGTTTTATTCGTTGTTATATCGATCCACTGAAATGATTCGTCAATGTAAATATAAGGAATGATATTTATTTTTTCAACATTTATGAGGTCATAACAACAATGGGTTTTTGGACATATTTTACATGAACCGCTAACGCGATTCATTCAATATGTCCATAAACCCATTGTTGTTATGACCTCATAAATGTTGAAAAAATAAAAATCATTCCTTAAATAACGACAAGAAAAATATTTCATTGTAAAAACATAACTTAATACGCTATCTCTAATAGTATACAATCGAATGAAGCAGGAGGGAAGTCTACTACTGTTTCTACTGTTGTGGTTGTTATTGTAAAAAATATCATTCGATAACTTCTTAACCTTCAATACATTTGATATTATATTTGTGGTTGTTATATTTGTATATCGAGTTGATATCTAAGACATCTGCTAAAAGACGAATAATTCATCTTTGGATATCCGTGTTTATCAGAGCGGGAAAAAACAACGACATTCGATGTCAGCACTGTTCAACTCTTGACCGACACTCTAATCAACCACGCTCTACGTATTCACTGACGTCCGACCCGATTCAAGTCCCGCAAAAATATAAAAATGTGTTCGTCCTCTTTCAGCCTAGCATTGTATGATATATAAGATATATAACCTATAATCTACATGTCTCATACCTTATTTGGCCTAATGGTATTAACATTTCAGTAAACACACGATCATATTTATAGTGCAGTATCTGATAACAAAAATTATCATTATTTGCTTCATAACTAATTCCTATAATGGAAACATCTATTTCAAATTACACGTGCAATGACTAACGCACATGATTGGAGGTGTAAAGGCATTCCACAAAAAAGAAACATTAGAAGGTTTGACAGCACGTGGTTTATGAATTATCACTTGGAATGTGTTGATAATTAATAAATCAAGTTTTAAACGCCTTTTCTATATTATTATACAGTAAAACCTTAATTAAGAGGCCACCAAAGGGAGGTTTAAAAATGAATCATTCAACAGAACAGGTCTATTCACTACAAAGTGGGATACTCAACAAGGTATATTGTCACAGGCAGTCTCTAAACTGAGCTGGTCGTATGAGCAGGTTTTGGCTGTATGCCTTATTTTGTATTTTCTAAAGAGTAAAACCTTTTTATACTGCCATGATGTTAAGTCATTTTTGGCATTATAACGAGGTTTAGCGGTATATCGATGGCTACATGTAGAGGAATTGTTGACAGAAAGATAAAGATACGTTGGTATAAGTAGTAAGTGAGCTAACAAAGTAAATACGAGACTTTATTTCGAGGTTTTTCTGTGAAGGGATTTATAAATGTTTCTATTCTGCGTAAATCACACAAGTGAGTTCAGTTTATACCCCTTTCCACATCACATAGCTCCAATAAATCGTACGATCGGGATCCAACAAAGATATCATGCGGCCTATAATTGATTTATGAGAGTAACCCGCAGTACAGTAACTAGTGTATAAGGTCTGTCGGACGCAACTAAATGCTTTGTATAATAATGCTTTTAAAAAGCTTTTACCATGACATCATCGACATTTAACATTTATGATCGTACTGATTGTGGTTCTAAATAATTGATGTATTTTCCCTATGTACAAATGCAGTTAATACTACAAACAATTATTTTTTTCTCGTTCTCTCTGATGTGAAACGAGGTAACTTGACTTTCAAATGATATATGAGGCGCATGTGCATTGGCATGATTAAAACAGTTTGTGATAGTCTTACAACATTAACGTTGGTTGGATATAAATAGGTGCCGCTATAGTAGCATGGCTCAAACGCGTAGTGTATGCGATATGAATTCGGTCAGAAACTGTTTACAGAGCACATGGGTGTGTGTACATCCGTGTGACACAGATCATGCTGTTTCACGAAGGAGGATTTGATAAATGATACAATGTTTTTGTTAGGTTATTTCGCACTATTGTTTATCATGGATGCGAGTAGTTTAGAACCAGGCAGGGATTGTCAAAATACTGTAAGTATGGCCAACATTTTAACGGGGTATATTTACAGTTTAAATTGCGTGTTACCTATGCGTCTTGTTTTGTTTATCACCAGGCGTCTGGTCCAATGTCTGTTTGTCTAACAGGATATGATCTATCAATCTGTTCTTTCTGTTTTTCTATCCGTACGTTGTTTCCCTATAAATATACTTAATGGTCATTTAAACAAAATTGATTACTCAATTTAATATTCAACATCTAGCCAATATACATCTAAATCTTGGGAAATTATTGTAAAATATCTTCAAAGCAATTTCTGAAAATGTCTTACAAAAAAACATATCACAGCAATGTTTCTGTTGTCAATATTTATATCTGCCAGGCGATGTGTTATCATTGATGTTTATAGGGTTATAAACGCATTTTATTTGTTAATTTATTTGATATAACCCGATTTCTTTGGATTTTGATACGCTTCAATATCATATCATTGTACGTTTAAACATGAACAGATACTTCAGTATTTATTTGTGTAAACAAGGGATATGTGGAGATCATGATGCTACGATCTCATTCCACGTGTAGGGTTTATTAACCAAAACCCTTATACAAAGTCAAACTTGTATAAACGACCACCACGCCGGGAAGCTAAAAAGTGGTCCCTTAACACAGGTTGACTTTTGACTTTTGATACGGGTTAGATTGAACATTCACTACAATGGGGAACATTTAAACTGATTCCTTAACACAGTGGTATTTAAATAGAGATGGTCGTATGAGCAAGTTTGACTTAATACATTTTTTTTTTGTGAAAAAGTGAACTTTTTCCCAAGATCAACGGAAACCCATATTAATTATTTCTTTAAAAGAACATGTGTATGTTATTAATTAGTACAAGTAACATGTTATTATTGTGAGTTGTCGCTATGTTATATTAGTTACAAAAGGTACATTATATAAGTAGAATGAAAAGATTGTGGTAGTGGTGACCCTCCCTAGGGTAGTAAATGATTGACGTGACACAAATGTCGAAGAAAATACACGCTGTGTATCTGGTGGGTTTGTGTACTGAAAACGTGCGATAGCAGTTATAACGTTATGTAACTATATACATGTAACTGAAGGATCAGATAAGAATATTCTATTTTTGGAAAAAGAATTTTACCTATGTTTTCTTTTTCGTTTGTTTTTATCAGACTGGTAACAATCCAAAGCCTGTATTAAGATAATATCACATCCGGAAACATGTCTGAACATGGATTCGAACCTACACTGTTCACATTTTCTGGTCACAAGCTAACTGCGTTACACATTAGGCTACATCGGACATAGACAAAAGGGAAATACAAACTGCTTTAACCCAAGAAACATCTGTCGCTGTTTTAAAAACTTGATCGACCCAGTTTTTCATTATTTTGAGCACTTTCCCAAAGGAGGACCACTTTTCCGTCATACGATTTGTTTTTGCATATTACATCACGGAATCAAAATGTTTATTCAAAAGTTGGTCCTCGGATGGGAAAGTATTAAAAGTATTTTTTTTTAAATCTGGGAAACTCCTTCACTTTCATAGATATAGTGAATATGGCTATATTTGCAGTATTATATTAACAATACCGAATATCTCAATAGTTCAAAAATTCATATTCAATTGGTTTTATATCTATTCCATGCATTTTTGCTACTAAAGATTATTAACTCATCAATATTTTTTTCCGTTTTCAAAAATGCCGAGGCAGTTTTCCTCCGTACCTCTTTAAAAGATGGTCTCTTAATGAAGGTTGTATTTTAATACAAGTTCAAATTACAATGAAATCACTACTGTGGGAGTATTAAAAGTGGTCTCTTAACATAGGTGGTATCTAAGTCGGAGGTGATCTTAACTAATAGGTGAAAATAAAGATCACAGAGGAGCAATACTTTAACATGGAATTTATTTCTAGCATAAAAATAACGTTGAATGTGTAATGTTTAGATACATTATTTTTATATAATTGGAAACAGGAAGTGGTTCCTTAACTGGGACTTGCGCTTAATGAAAAAAGATATAATATAACCTCAACAAAACTATTTTCATTGCTGGTGTGAGTCATGTTTCCAACTTCTTGATGGCTAAACGGATTTACTAGCATCGTTATTAACTGAACAGCTTGATGCAATGCAGTATATTATGAATTAGTGATTGACAAATGAGATGTAGTATATGATCAATTAGTGATTGACAAATGAGATGTAGTATATTATCAATTAGTGATTGACAAATGCGATGTAGTACATTATTAACTAGTGATCGACAAATGCGATGTAGTATATTATCAATTAGTGATTGACAAATGAGATGTAGTATATTATCAATTAGTGATTGACAAATGAGATGTAGTATATTATCAATTAGTGATTGACAAATGCGATGTTGTATATTATCAATAAGTGATTGACAAATGAGATGTAGTATATTATCAATTAGTGATTGACAAATGCGATGTAGTATATTATCAATTAGTGTTTGACAAATGAGATGAAGTCTATTATCAATTAGTGGTTGACAAATGCGATGAAGTATATGATCAATTAGTGACTGACAAATGAGATGTTGTATATTATCAATAAGTGATTGACAAATGCGAGGTAATATATTATCAATTAGTGCTTGACAAATGAGATGAAGTATATTCTCAAATAGTGATTGACAAATGCGATGAAGTATATAATCAATTAGTGATTGACAAATCAGATGTAGTATATTACCAATTAGTGATTGACACATGAGATGTAGTATATAATCAATTAGTGATTGACAAATGAGATGTAGTATATTATCAATTAGTGATAGACAAATGAGATGTAGTATATGATCAATTAGTGATTGACAAATGAGATGTAGTATATTATCAATTAGTGATTGACAAATGCGATGATCAAGTATATTATCAATTAGTGATTGACAAATGAGATGTACAAAATGTAGTATATTATCAATTAGTGATTGACAAATGCGATCAAGTATGTTATCACTTAGTGATTGAGAAATGAGATGTAGTATATTATCAATTAGTGATTGACAAATGAGATGTAGTATATTATCAATTAGTGATTGACAAATGCGATGTAGTATATTATCAATTAGTGATTGACAAATGAGATGTTGTATATTATCAATTAGTGATTGACAAATGAGATGCAGTATATTATCAATTAGTGATTGACAAATGCGATGTTGTATATTATCAATTAGTGATTGACAAATGAGATGTAGTATATTATCAATTAGTGATTGACAAATGAGATGTAGCATATTATCAATTAGTGATTGACAAATTAAATGTAGTATATTATCAATTAGTGATTGACAAATGAGATATAGTTGCTTTACGAAATGAGGCCTGATTGTTGCCTTTCAGATATACACGTATGCCTTGTTTTGTTTTAGAATTGTACCATGTTTTTGTAATAGTCTAATAGTAATATCTCGTTTCAGTCCCGAGTGTGTGATCAGAGTTCCACGCCGTGTACATGTCAAGGTAAGTATCAATATTTCTTACCACGTTTCGGTCAAGTTACCAAACAGATACTTACATGTACCTCCCAAATACTTATTTCACATTTCAAACATGACACAGGTTTATTAGTTAACTACTAGTAATTACTTCAAATAATGATGTCACAATTGAAGCACAACAAAGGATTTTAGTGAACGAAATAACTCGAATACTAATGTCATAATTCAAACACGTCACAGATTCAACAGTTAGCTGACTACCTCTCAAATACTGATGTCACAATTAAAAATTGAAAAACGACACAGGTTTAATCAATAGTGAACAAATGTCCTTCAAATACTGATGTCACAATTAAATTAAAACAGGACAAAGTTTTAATCAATAGTGAACTGATTTACTTCAAAAACTGATGACACAATTAAAACACGACACAAGTTTGATCAAGAGTTAACTAATTTACTTCAAGAACTGATGACACAATTCAAACACGACAATGTGTAATAACTAATTAACTGATTACTTTAAATACGGATGTGTAATTTCAAACACAACAAAGGTTTAAAAGTTAACAGTGTAATTACCTCAAATACTTATGTCACAATCCAAACACGCCATGGGTTTAGTATATAGTTAACTAATTACCCCAAAATATTGATGTCATAATAATTCAAATGCGACAAAGGTTTAATAGTAAACTGATTACCGCAAATACTGACGCCGTAATTCAAACACGACGCAGGAGATATTGATATGACATAATTATCATGTTTCTACGTTTTATTCTTTCAGACATGACTAAGAACTATTGCCACTCTGTGATGTATGATAAAGTGGTTCCACTATTTCTATTGAAGCATTTCTCTTATTTTTATATTATAATATATAAAGAAAGCCCAGAAATATGACTCATTCTTCAAATATTATCACGTACTAGTATCATAAACCTTTTAATCAAACCTTGAAATGATAGTCATAATTTAAACAAATGCTTGTAGTAGATTCACTTTGATAAATAATTGATACCACAAACAAAACATAGAAATTATACATGCATCACAAATGTACGTGCATATCTTTAAGTTCAAGTTCTATATTACCTTGAGTCTTTAGACTCATTTATTTCAAATGTGAGATATTAACAATATCTACATAGAATACAATACAATACAATACCAGCACTATACAAATAGTACGGGGAGTGTATCTAATTAAGTTAATCTATGTACACGTATCATGTTTACTCAATTTTATAACAAGTGTTAAACTTAATTCCAAAATTCCTTTCATTTACTAAAATCATAATCAGTATACTTAAATTTGTTTATTCGTTTTGATAGATGGTCTATTGGCATACTTTTTTTTTATTATTCAATTTAAATCAATGTTACAGAATACGAAAACATGGCCACGCTATGTTTCTTTGTCAACACGACCAGTAAACAGTTTATTGTGGAGATCAACTCAGCGGAACAGGCCGATTTCCTTATCCGGGTTGTTCAACACCAACCGATGCAATCTACTGTTTTGAGATTTGAAACAAAACCGGTAAGTTATAATTTTTTTAGCAGCAAGTTCGAAATGTTATCTTGATGCATGGATGGCTGTTCGTTCTGTTTCATTTATAAGCGTTTTATCTATTTAAGTGTTTTTGTATTTAGTGTGCTACGTCGAAATGTGTTTACATAGCTTATACATTTGTATGATACATAACGACATGTGTGAAACCTCTATCGGCCTGGCGTTTCTAACTACGGCAAGTACACCTGATGAGGTTTTCACAAATGAAATTTGAAAAAGAAATTGCTAAAATAGGAATTTAATACTAAAATGGAATAGCATTATTATATTCCTGATTTGGATGATTCAGCCGACAACAGTGAGGCAACTTTATGGGTACATGATAAAATACATCAGCAGGAATATGCCACGCTTACAACTAGTGTTTACCTTAGAATCGAATAAACCCCATTACCACAAATATATTTCTCCTCCTCAATATAACTCAAATAATAGTGTGTATTATAAATACTATGAAAATAAATAAATAAATTATCAATAACAAAAAGTGTAAGAATTGACACACAATATATAAAATAAATAATAGCGCAAATGTCATTGAAAAATATTTTTGAATTTCAGTAAAAATAATAAGCATAATATATTTCAAACAAGACATTTTTGTTTTGAACGTGATAGAAAAAAATATATATATTCAGACGTGGGGAAAACTGATGGCATATAAAAACGACAGAGGTGGACTAACAAATGGCTGAAATCCAAATATATGGTGGATATCTCGATTAAGGTCAATTTTTCTCCCAGACTTCACAGGTACATTTCCTTTTTTGGTAGGGAAAATATGAACTTGTCTTAATATACCTCGATCAAAACAGCTGCCACGCGCTATTACGTCACAGACAACGTACTTCTTTCAACATGACATGTGACCCTGTGCACTTTTAGCAAAACCAATTACATCATCACTTTTTACACACATGTATAATAAACATGTAAACAAACACTGTATAATGGCAAGCTCAGCATTCCGAGAGTTCAAGATGGGCGAATGTGTTGCCGTAGGGAAAATTAGCAAAAATGTTACGTAAAAACTGCTGTCTTGCACGAAATGATAATCTACATGACTAGATATACCGTTTAAACATTTATTTATATTTACATTCTGTGTTACATTTGCCTATGTCGTTAGTAAACCAAATTCCAATATATGAGACTGTATACTGCAATTTACAGTGATTCGGTCAGTGTAGGAACATACATGGCCACCAGATACTTTCGGTATCAATAGGACTATAGTCAGAGAACTTTCTGGGTTCGTTAGAATTTAGCAATATAGGTCATCGCAAAAAATAAAGCAACTTGACAAATTATGACAACATAAATTTATTATAAGATGTGTACGTAGGTACCACAAAATTATTGTAAGCGTCATGCTAGATACGAAATCAACGTCATCACACAGGGGCTCGGTTTCGAGATTTTGAGTTATGCATAACATCAGTGAATAACCACAACACTAAAATTCAGCATATATAAAACCTTGTAAAAGTCGAGGGTATCGACAAGGTTCTTCAGTGATGTCATCCATTACTCAAAATCACGAAACCGAGCCCCTGTGAACGATGTCTGCTAGCGATACTAATCTGACCGATTAGACATGGAATCTATTTCAAACGAAATGTCCTTGTGATCGTTATCACCTATTGAAAGGACCACTTTAATTAAAATATTCCGAGTATATATGCTTCTTAAAATAACGTAATATTCCAGTCAATGGAAACATAAGCGTTTCCGAGGAAACAATCAAGTCCGTTCAGCGGTGCATCACTTCCAAATACATGTAATCTATCAATGCGCAAAAACCAGCTTTAATTTAAAACAAGCAGAAGTTATGGAATTATTCAACATATACACACTCATATAAAATAAATAATAAAGTTAAGTTTGTGGTCAAACCATTGTATGTGCATGTGGTTTGCAATGACACGAGGAACTATATTATTTCTTATGGAAATGTCGGCTGTTCTGGGATTTGAACTTGCTGACGTCACTGATATGTAAAGCGGGAAATTCAAACGTATTTTGCTTCAGTTACTATACAAAACAGACTATATAAATGCAGATATAAGCATTGAACTGTTACCAGATGCAGTATACAGTCGATATGAATGCAATTTGAGTGACAGATAAACATGCATGTCGCCCTATTCTATCTGTCACCCAAATTGCATTCATATCGAATGTATACTGCATCTTTTAACATTTCAATGCTTAAATGTATGTCTTTATGTGTTTCAGAGTTCCTGTCGATTGCTGAATATACCAGAGGGAAGCTATAAAATAAAGGTATGATAATATATACACGGTTTATGAAATAAACATGCATGCAAAATGTACTTAATACAGTATCCTAATTAAATGCGTATCGACAATAAACAATATTCATAAATAATATGTCCGTACATGTCAGGTAACAGCTTTAAAAAGTAAAATATACACCGGTCGGATTACATGTCTGACAAAATCGCCGTGTTTGAAACAAGTAAGTCATACGGAGTTACTGTTCTTTAAGATTGTCTTAACAATATCATCCATCAGAAACATCTAAAACTACCGCAAACCTCGATTGAATGCCCCTCGTTTCATTTGTCACCTCGTTTATCGCAAACATATTTCAATGTCCTTTTTTCTCGTTTTTCTTAAGAATTACTACTTTATATTTTTCTCTCAACATATCACCAAAACCTTTAATCAGTGCAACATTTCTCTGGACAAAATGCTGACAGTATAATGAGGTTTTTATGTACATTAAAGTGTAATTAACAACGTTAAATAGAAATTACATATCCGTTACTTTTGATTACAGAAAAAGCAAACAAACAATAATAAAACGGACATATTGTTTATCTGATCCATCTTCCAAATGTCCGTTTTGACATAAACAATATTCTATGTCATAACTAAATGCACAATATATTCAATGCTCCTAACATGAAAGATAGTATGGTATTTCTCTTCTTTGCTTAGGACTGTGCTGAAAAATACGAATGTTCAATTATTCTTTTTTGTTGACAATATGTACATATTAGATCACAATCACGTGCCTTTACCAAGATTAGGACGCGCGCATGTACACGGAAAGAGAATGAACGCCCATTAATGTAACATACATGATTACAATAAATTAGAACTTGTGTAAATAGTACATTAGATATTGCCAAACTAAATAATCTTTGCCAATATTAATGTGTCCCGACATTAGCACAGCGTATGTCAGTAGTTTGTAAATCTCACTGATATACCTGTTCGATTAGGATGCTGGCGTATCATCTCATGGTTGGACAAATCTCACTGATATAACTGTTCTATTAGGATGCTGGCGTATCATCTCATGGTTGGTCAAATCTCACTGATATAACTGTTCGATTAGGATGCTGGCGTATCATCTCATGGTTGGTCAAATCTCACTGATATAACTGTTCTATTAGGATGCTGGCGTATCATCTCATGGTTGGTCAAATCTCACTGATATAACTGTTCTATTAGGATGCTGGCGTATCATCTCATGGTTGGAAAAATGGTTTCCGTAGCAGCAAATCTTTTTATCTGCTTATGCAAGATAGAAGAAATTTTGGTGTGATAGTTTCTTACCAATGATACATGTATAATAAAGTTTAAATATTATATGAATTACATGCAGATAAGGTAACGTCCGTTAATAATAGTGGTACTGTACATGAAGATACAGTACCGCTAATCTTCGCCCGTTTTTCTTATCAGCTAGATAAAACTGACACTCCTATTTTTCTAACATAGCTTTAGTTTATAACTTTCCGTTCATACCTCACACAGAGTGTGAAACGTGTAAAAGATTAGAGCAAAACGAATTAAACGTTATTTTCTTACGTGCTGTAAGGAATTCATTGATTTACATAGTGTCAAGCATGCCCCAAGTTAGTATTACTTCATAAGTGATTTATGAAGTCGTTTAAAAAGCAAAGTGATGTAATAGATCTTTATTAGTTACATGTAAGATGAAAACACTTTCATTGGGATAACATTACCTTTGGCCCTGTCGAGCACAAAGTATTGTGTAAACATTACCTCTGACCGAGTAGAACACATAGACGCTGTTCGTTGGTTTCTGCTCTCGTGATATCTCGTAAATTCTCTTATGTTTGATAATAACGTATACATGCTATCAACTTTGCGCGTGGCGAGATATATGTAATTAGTAGTCGGGAACAGGCTTCACACACTGATATTTACAAAAGTGAAAGTTAAAGTGAAGGTTTGTATGTTGGAAAAAAATCATGAATAAATTCTGTCACACAACAAATGCGTTTGAGAGATAAATCAATTATTTGACCCCAATGACACAACTATGTCGTCTATGGAATAAAATTATTGTCTTGAGGGTCATTATTGCCCTTATTGAGTATTTACGAAGCAAGTATAACTGTGAAGCGATCACACCTCTCAGACGTGTATAAAGAAGAAAAGTAGTATTTTTCTAAAGCGATCGGACTTTTTCAGAAGCGTTTATAGCAAAATAAAAAGTACTTTTCCGGACAAGTATATAAAATATGTTTTGACTGTACATTGTTTACCTTTATCCGGGCACATTTAAGCAGCAGCAGTATAACAAAACATGACCATTCCTTTGCGGACATATTTAAAATATCTGTATTACTCTGAAAAAAATAATCCTGTTCTTTACGGGTCAGTATTACTGCTATTCCTTTGAAATATGAAAGGTTTTTACTTCAAAGTGAACATGTTTGCAGTAATTGAAAACAAACTCCACTGTATTAAGTATCCGGACTTACGCAGTTCTGATTACTGATACCGTTTTTCATTTCCAGCAACATTAAAGAAGTTCCCAAGCGAAAATTCGTGAAGTAGTCCATGAGAGTTACATAATATTGTAAGACGCCAGCCGCACTGTGAGCTATCAGTGACGCCACTTAAGTGCCCGTAACACGTGACACGATAATATTTCCTCCCTGTCAATGATAACGTAAATGTCATTTGTCAGTTTATTAACCAATGAAAACGCTCAGTCTTTTCATCAAATATGTTAAAGTGTATATCATGTGTATCACTATTACTGACTTTATTCAAATATATCATACTTTCTCAGTTTACACCAAAAGATTGTGTTAATGATACTTTAACTGTTTAAGGATCCCTGTCCCGCTGTACTGTGATTTTTCCTTTATACAGTGTAACCTCCTGTTGACTTCCTTAAGGATCCCTCTCCCGCTGTACTGTGGTTGTTCCTTTATACAGTAACCTCCCATTAACTTCCTTAAGGATCCCTGTCCCGCTGTACTGTGAGTTTTCCTTTATACAGTAACCTCTCATTAACTTCCTTAAGGATCCCTGTCCCGCTGCACTGTGATTTTTCCTTTATACGGTAACCTCCCATTAACTTCCTTAAGGATCCCTGTCCCGCTGCACTGTGAGTTGTCCTTTATACAGTAACCTCTCATTAACTTCCTTAAGGATCCCTGTCCCGCTGCACTGTGATTTTTCCTTTATACAGTAACCTCCCATTACCTTCCTTAAGGATCCCTGTCCCGCTGCACTGTGATTTTTCCTTTTTACAGTAACCTCCCATTAATTTCCGTTTAGATTTATGTAGAGAACAGTTTTGCCAGCATAATACCAATGACCAGGTAGCTCCGTCGGATCCTTAAGTTTCTTGTCACATTCGAATGTCCATGCATAATTGGATGTTATCTGCCGGTCCAGGACCATAGGCGAACTTTTGTATAGATTGAACGTTGAGCACGATGCTATAATATTGAACATCTAGCAATATTAAAATGGATATGCCCTGGTTTGATGGGTAATCGTCCTCATTCCAAAAAGGATGGGCAGGGTAAGATTTTTTTATGATAGGGTGAATTTACATAAATATATTTAAAATAAGGAAAGAAAATCAACTTTTAAAGATAACGACTCGATGTGTTCTGTTTCAAAAGTGACTATTGATAAGAAGAAACTCAAATATTCAGAGACATTTTCCCTGACAGAAATGTCAACTGAACGTTGGCGTTACATTTCATTATCAGCCACTCACTATGTCACAGGTATGATATCAAATATCATTTGTGATCATATTTATATTTTTCAGATTGAATCGATAACAAGGAAAAACCAAGTCAAGTGTTTTTGTGGTGGTCAAATGGATGCCTGGTGTGACAGTTGTAATGTCAAAAATTTCGCAGGTAATCAGTTGTATGCACAAGATATTTCCAGTAATGATACAGTCATTGCAATAGTCCACAACCATTAAATATGTTTACATCTTCTTTAGAACATACGTAATGTTTTTTATCAGGTTTATATTATTTCATCGTATATTTAAATAAAACGATAGTTACTCCTAATATGATTTATTTTGTTATATCATGTTAAAAAGATACAGAGGATGTTTAACGGTGTTTTCAGTCATACCAAATATATTTCAAGAGTGTGCCTAATACTTTGTTATCTGCGCATTCGTAAAATATTTCAAAGTATTAGCCACACTCGTGAGATAAATTTGATATTACAGAATACATTGTTAGATATTATGTTTATTTCATTTTTCATCAAGAAATACCCAACCATGAACGCAAAGCGACACATGAAGCTGACAATACTTGATCAAGAGTTGCTGTGTTAACACTCCTGACTCTGACACATGTTCATTTGACTTGAGTTTTCCCTCAATCAAATAGTTAGAATTGCTGGTCTGCATAGTCTGCCGGCTTCCATAAAAATGACAGTTAAATTAACTGTGGAATTAAACATTGGGTTTTATCCTCAGAAATTAGTCTCCCGAATGATTGGTTTCAGATGCTTATTCTAAGTTTTATAGAAAGAATAATTTTTCAATATTCCACCTGTATAATGTGATAAAAAGTGTAACTTAACTGTAATATACTATATTGTGTCATATTATGTAAATTGTAATGTCATATTTACCTGTATTTATACGTTTTTATTTTAAACATTGTGAAAATATAACGTGATAGTTACCTGTGATATAATATATTGTGTCATATGATGTAATAATGTAACGTGATACTTACCTATAATACAAAGTTTGTGTATTACTATGTAAAACTATAACGTGATACTTACATGTTATATAATTTATTATAACATATCAAGACAAAATATAACGTGATACTAGAATTTTATAAAATATATTGTATCATTTCATGTAATAATGTAACCTGATACTTACCTGTAATACAAATTTTGTGTTTTACCATGTAATAATGTAACGTGATACTTACCTATAATACAAATTTTGTGTATTACTATGTGAAACTATAACGTGATACTTACATGTTATATAATATATTGTGTCATATTATGTAATCATGTAACGTGATACTTACCTATAATACATTTTTTTTGTATAACCATGTAATAATGTAACGTGATACTCACCTATAAAACAAATTTTGTGTTATACCATGTACAACTATAACGTGATACTTACCTGTTATATAATTTATTATAACGTATCAAGACAAAATATAACGTGATACTTACATGTTAAATAATTATTATGTTATATCATAACGTGATACTAATTTGTAATACCAATTTTATGTTTTATCACGTAAAAATAATGAAGCCGTGAAACCTACCTGTATCATATGAAATATAATATCATGTTAAAATATAACGAGATACTTACCTGCTGATATATGTTACTACTTATATATATTTTCTAGGAACCTTGACAAGTCGAACTCCGGTACTCTCATCTACAGTAGCATTAGCCCCCGGTACAAGGTTTACATCGACGCATGACCCTAACATTGTTGACTTGTCAACGCTGTCAGAAAATGGATCGGATTCTGATACTGATTCCCATCGAAGCGATCAACCGGACGATCGTGATACACACGTGGTGATTGCTGTATCTACCTGCGTCGTACTGGTCATTTCGTTGAGTTTGTTCATCTGGCAATGCAAAGGTAAACACATCAGCTAAATAAATTACACTGCATCATACATACAACGTCATGTTAGAGCATTTTCATTTCATGCTACTGTGTGTTATCATTGGGTATGCACATATAACAAAGGCCAACATAGTAACCACGCCTTTCATTTTAAAACAATACCTTAAACAGTAAAGCCGGGTTATACTGCCACTTTTTGTCCATAAAAATGTCGGCGTTATAAAGAGATTTGGCGATAAATTGAGAAAAATGTGTGAAGTGTTTCTTAAGAAAACGAGAAAAACGAGATAGCAAATTAAACCAGGCACATTATATCGAGGGTTTACTGTACCTCTCATGGTTTGGAATCAAAGGAGCACATACGGATTGTTGTTTCTTGCAAAATGGAAGCAGAATGATACCAACAATGGATATTATATCAATTTTTTATCAAACTGAAATATAATGGAATGAAACATTTTTAAGTATTACTATTCAACATTTGAACTACCGCCCAACTAGCCATGGTAATTTGCTCTTAGGCAATTTACATTGCATACATAGATATCCCATCCATAAAGTCATACAAGATATCAATCAATACAACTGGAGAACATCGCATGAGCATGAACAGCCTTTTCAAACGCAAACTACTAGTTTCATGCCACATGATCCCTCTTTTTATCTTTTTCACATTGATTTTTGGATGCTGTGTATAGCATTCATAGCGGTCCTCGCCAAGCCTGGGCAAAACAAAACCAAACAACATACTTTCTTCTTCCACGGAAGATCTTTAAATGCTGTGTTGATTATGTTATGGTATGATTAATGCTATAAAATGATGAAATACATATGAAAACGATCAATAAGTCAAGGAAAAAATGTTAAAATTTTACTAAAAGGCAAGTTGTTTCAGTGAGCATCATGAACTATATCAATCTCACATTATTACGCTTTTTGGACCAAATACTTTCTTCACAAAAAAAACAAACAACACTTTATCTCCTTCCGCGAAAGATCTGTAGATAATGTGTTCATTATTTCATGATATGATCAATGATATCATATGGTAAAATATATCTGTATAAGACCAAAA